TTTTTTTTTTTTTTTTTTTTTTTTGATACAGAGTCTCACTCTGTCACCCAGGCTAGAGTACTATGGCATCATAGCTCACAGCAACCTCAAATTCTTTGCGATCTTCTTGTCTCAGTCTCCCAAGTAGCTTGGACTACAGGCACCCACCACAACCCTGGGCAAGCTTTTCTATTTTTAGTACAGACAAGGTCTCCCTCTTGCTCAAGCTGGTCTGGAACTCCTGAGCTCAAGCAATCCACCTGCCTTGGCCTCCCAGCATGCTAAGATTATAGGCATGAGCCAACACACCTGGGCCAATCTGTGTCCTTTGTAATATCCTTTATAATAAACTGGTCAATGTGTTTCCCTGAATTCTGTGAGCCACTCTAGCAAATTAGTAAAACCTGAGTAGGGGGTCTCTGGGATTCCTAATTCATAGCTGGTCTATGTAAGTGCAGGCCATAGCCTGGGGCTTGTGACTGGCATCAGGAGTTGGGGGCAGTCTGCCAGGACTGAGCCCTCACCCTGTGGGAGCTGACACTGTTTCCAAGTAGGTAGTATCAGAGCTGAATTGGAGGACACTCTGCTGGTGTCCCTGCAGAACAGATTGATTGCTGGTGGGGAGAAGTCCCCACAAATTTCTCAGGGACCACAGGTCACAGAAGTCATCTGTGTGACTGAGTGAGAGTACAGGAGAAACTGAGCTGGGTTTTTCCCCTATGTGTTCAGAGGTACATGTCATTTTTTTTTTATTTACTTTTAAAATTTTGAGACAGAATCTCACTCTGTCTTCCTGGGGTAGAGAGCTGTGGCCTCATAGCTCACAGCAACCTCAAACTCCTGGACTCAAATGATCCTCTTGCCTCAGTCTCCTGAGTAGCTGGGACTACAGACCCCCAGCCCGAAGTCTGGCTAGTTTTTCTATTTTTAGTAGAGATAGGGTCTTGCTCAGACTGTTGCGCAGACTGTGAGCTCAAGCAATCCACCTGCCTTGGCCTCCCAGCATGCTAGTATTAGAGGCGTGAGCCACTGCACCTGGCCAGAGGTACATGTTATTATTAGTCTCATTTTACAGATTGAGAAAATAGGCCTAGAGGGGTTACCGATTGCCTCCTAAGTGTAGAGCCAGATGTGGAATGCGGACAGTCTGCCGCAGTTCTCCTCCTTACCATGATGCCTGCTGAAGGGGAAGGGGAATGCGGAGTGCCGACTGTGTAACACCAGCCCATTTTATGGTGGTGAATGTGCACACTGGACCCCAAACACCCACTCTATTTCAGAGCACACACTGAGGTCACCTCCTCTCCAGCTTCCTCAGTGCCCTCACTGCCCCAGTAATTAGCACAGAGGAGAAGAGGGGCAGTCTGTGTCCTCCCTGAGAAGTAAGTGGGGTTAGCTCAGAGCTTTGGCCTGAGCAGGTGGGAGGAGGCCTGGATCCTTAGGGGGACAACCTCTGTCTCCCCCTCCTCTGCACACACAGTGAGCCCCGCACTGCAGTGACCAACTCAATAACTTCTCAAATGAATGAAAAAACCCATAAGCGACTGAAATCCTCCGAACTATAACAAATGACTCTATTTTATGGTAACGTTTTATTTCTTTAAACAGGGCCTAATTGTACCTTCACAGTGGCCACCCATATGTGGCCATAGTTGCTATCATTTGTGATGTGTGGGCATTCTCCAGTAGGTATATTGAAGCTAGTGTTTTTTTTTTTTTGTTTTTGTTTTTGGTAGGAGCCAATTCATGCTCTATTTGACTCTTGCCTTCGAAAGGGATGACTGCTTATGGTAGGGGTCCTCAGCCTTCTTTCCCTTCCAGCACACATGGGGGACAAGATTTGGGTGCCTGGCAAACTCCCAGTGGCCATTTCAGGGAAGGGTTTCTGGCTACACTCATTTATCTCCAGGCCAGGAAAGCAACCTAGAATCCACTTACATTTACATTAAAACAACAGATAAACAGAGGAAAGGGAAGGCAGACACCCCTCAGACTTTGGTCTTATGCTTTAATTTATTTGCAAAACAGCACCCAGCTTGTACCTGTTACCTTATAAAGTAGTAATAGGTGGGGGTGGGTGCTACCAAGTACTGTGGGGTCTCTTATTTCAGTGGGTTTGAGTAAACTCTTCTCTCCAGATATGAAATGATGAACTCTGATATCTATAGGTATCAGAAGGGTCTGGCCTCTGTTCCTCATGTGCTTATGGAATGGTTCTCTCTTCAGTCTTTGCTGAGTGCCAGTCAGGGGTGCTAAGTCCTTTGCGGTGACACCAGGGGCTCATAGACGTCCAGAACCTTAGCCCAGCTGCTCAGCCAAGGAGTCAGGTCTCCCAGGCCCAGGAGGGCTTTCTCGGTCCAGCAGCCAAGCGTGGGGTTGACCTGCCAAAGCAGCTGCTTTAAGCCTCAGAGTCCTCCAACTGGGGTGTGGAATCCAACCTCACCTGACCCCTCCTGGCCCCCCCAGCCCAGCCCAGCAGGACTAATTGTCCTCTCCTCTGTGTGCCCGCGGCACTTTGTTCCTGCAGCTATTAAGGCAGCTCTTAATACATCTCTCCCCTTTCCAAGGCAATATTCTTTCTTTTTTTTTTTTTGAGACAGAGCCTCAAGCTGTCATCCTGAGTAGAGTGCCGTGGCATCACAGCTCACAGACAACTCCTAGACTCAAGCAATTCTCCTGCTTCAGCCTCCCAAGTAGCTGGGAGGCTGTAGTCGCCCGCCACAATGCCCGGCTATTTTTTGGTTGCAGCCATCATTGTTGTTTGGCAGGTCCGGGCTGGATTCGAACTCACCAGCGCGGGTGTATGTGGCTGGCGCCTTAGCCGGTTGAGCCATAGGCGCTGAGCCGGCAACATTCTTTTTGTTGTATTTATTAGAGATTTTATGTAATCTCAAATTCTTCATTAAAATCACCTTGGGGTTTACATGATTTTTCTGTCTGTGACATTAGAATTGAAAACATAAATTGGTGGTTTGGAGTCCCATTTGGGTCTTTAGGTTGAAAGAACTATGGAAACTCAGGCCTGTCCAGAACCCTCACTATGGAGACTGTCCTTGAATTGTGCTGTTACCCATTCTGCAGTCAGCTAGACCTTCAACCAATGCTCACTGAACTCCAGCTTTTGTGCCACTGCACTAGGCACTGGGTGTATCTGGATATAGGTCATGGGCTATGCCTTAGAGGCCAACACAATGTGCCTATCTAGCCCTAAATTTTGCTGGCATAGTAATACCTCTTTTTCTAGAATTTAGGAAGTCAACTTATCAAACTCCTTTCTGAGTGTAATTTCCTAGAGTTTTGAGACCATCTCTCTTTTAGAATAATGTTTTTAAGCTTTTAATTGTGATTAAACACACATTCACATTCCGTCAGGCTCAGAGGCATGCACCTGTAGACCCTGAAAGGTGTAAGCAGCGGCCAGACCAGAGATGTTCAGGCCAGGTTTATTGAAAGGGAGAGTGACCCACCTGGGCAGTGCAAAGAGGTTTCTGTGCTTGGGTGCAGTTAGAGATCCCTTGCATATGGGGCCCTGGTGGGCAAATTCCACAGCTTGCCTGGGGGGCTTTGGTAAGTTAGGGTCCTTTGGCACAAACTTCAGGGATGGGGCTAACTAGGTCCTCTGTGTCCTTTGTCTTAGGAGGAAAGAAAGAGGAGGAGGGGGAGGAGAATGAAGAGGAAGAGGGGGAAAGAGTTCACATGTGGTCACATTAGGCCTCCCCTACATTTCTGACTCTTGTTAAAAGAAGTGATGGGGACAACAGTCAGTCTTCTGAAATTGTTTCTGGCTGAACAGGGTCATAGTGATCCTCTGGGGGTTTGAGTCAGGTGTTGGTAGGGCTGCACAGTTTAGGGGTATATTGGGAGAGGGTTTGGGGAGTAGCAGAAATTGGGTGGCAACTGCGGCTGATACTTTTCCTACCCTGTCTTGAATAAACGAGGACAGGAATTGGGTGATACAAAGGGCAATGGTAATAATAGGAGGATTGCAGTGAGGTGGCCCAAGAAGGGTAAGATCCAGTGTCCCCATGGGCTGTTGAACCAGGATCCCTCATTCTAAGATCACAGGTGGTTAGCTTGTTCTTGAAGCTGGGTAATGCTCTCTTGGACCAGACCAGACTTGGTGTAGAAATAGCAGGTCTCCTGTTAAAAAAAAAAAAAAAGTATAAAGGCCCCTTTCTGCCATGATTATTAGATCTAAGCCTCTAAGAGGGTTGGAAGAGTAACTGGAAAATAATAAAAGGATGAGCAAGATAATTTTGTCTCCTAGAGAACTGAGGAACTGTGGAATATATAAAGGGGGGGTTGAATTTTATTTTTTATTTTAATGATGGGGATAAGAGAGAGAAACAGAGGTCTTTAAAATCTAGGAAGACTATAGGACTTGGCGCCAGTGGTATTTATTAGAATTAATTTACTTATGTGTTGGAGAATAAGTTACTTAAGGCCATCGTGGTGTAATGAAGTTGAACCCAATTTCAAGTCAGACATGTGGGTCAGTTGAAAGCTGTTCCCATGGTCCATGGGTATGTAGGATGTTGATTTAGGGGATGACCAGTTCCAGAAGGTGAATTCAACTGTTAAGTGTTTTTGATATGCACTATGTTCTTAGATGCTCTTAGATGCCTGTGGAAGAAGTCTAAGATGTGTCTCTGCCTTGGAAGCACTGCACAGAGAAAGGAGCTCAGAGTCAAGTAAAATACTAGCCTCTGTGATTCCAGGCCAAGAAGCCTTCTAGGGTATGAGCGTGTAGGCTGCTTCAGAGGCAGAAGATCCTGAGAAGGTTCTGAGGAATGGAAAGGCCTTTGGGGAGTGGAGAAGGAGATTCTAGGCCAGGGAAGGGCAGAAGCAAAAGTCAAAAGTGTTTGGAATTTCTCATTAGAAACTGAGATGGGAATAGGGGAGAACTTGCCCCAAACACCACCCACCACAGGGCAGGCCCAGGAGGTGGTATCTGATGTTGCATCTTCTGCCTGCAGGAATGATGTATTCTCTACTTTGTTCCCCTGTTTCCCCTCACCCAGATTCTCTGCAGCCCCTTCAAGGATTACGTGATGACTTTTGCCCTCTACCTGAGGTCCTGCCTTCCCTCTGCCAGAAGGTGTATGATTCTACAAAAGAAATCAAACATCAGAAACACATCCAGCATGCCTGGGGGTAAGTGCTGCTAGATGTTTTTTAAAAATTCCTAGAAATACCAACTGTGTAAGGCCTAGAAATTCCTGAGATTTCAGGCTTCCACCTGGGAAATAGAAAGTAGCAGAATGTTATTAGCTCTATTAACTGTCCAGAGGAACTGGCACCTTGGACTGGTAGTGCAAGTGTGAAATCTCACCAGATGGGTCCAGCACCACCCAGTTCTGCTGGTCACCTCAGTTCCATAAGGAGAACTGAACAACCACCAAGGGGCTCAAATGGTAATAAATATTTCCCTCCTGGGAAAAGCATTCCCAGGTTGCTTTTCCTGGAAAAACACTCTATTTTAATCTGGTTTTGATATAGACCAGTTCTCCCTACCCTTGGCTGGTCTCATTCTCTGGGTAGCACCCATCTCCCGGAGTGACACATAAGGCTCTGAAGGGCCTTGTAAGAGAAAATAGTCATTAAATATGTTATTGACCTAGTCCAAGCAAAAACTCACATTAAAAATGATTTTTCTGGAGGGAGGGGTAATGAGGGAGGAGCAGAGAGAGGGGTTGGGGTGCTCTCACTGAATGGGCAGGGGGTAGGGGTGTCTGGCATACCTTTTATGTGTAGGACATAACCACAATAGGGACTCTCCCTAACAAAATCAAATATTTTGACCTGGTTGTTTGTACCCTCATATTAACCTAAAATAAATTTACTTTTCAAAACAAAAAAGAAAGAAAGAAAGAAAATGAATGATAAAGATCAAGTCTGAAGATTGCCTATGGGGATTCAATTTAGAATGTTTATGGGATTTTTTTTTTTTTTTTTGTAGAGACAGAGTTTCACTTTATTACCCTTGGTACAGCGCTGTGGCATCATGTAGCTCACAGCAACCTCCAACTTCTGGGCTTAGGCGATTCTCCTGCCTCAGCCTCCCAAGTAGCTGGGACCACAGGCGCCCGCCACAACGCCCAGGTATTTCTTGGTTGCAGCCGTCATTGTTGTTTGGCGGGCCCAGGCTAGATTCGAACCCGCCAGCTTAGGTGTATGTGGCTGGCACCTTAGCCGCTTGAGCCACAGGCGCCGAGCCAGAGTTATCTATTGTTACATAACAAAGCATCCCAAAACTTACTGGCTTAAAATGACAGTTCTTGACACAGTTTTTCAATTGAGGCCAGGCTTAGCAGGGTGGTTCTTGCATTCTATATGGTGTCTGCTGGGGCTAGACCATCCAAGATGGCTTCTTCCTCACATGTCTGGTGTCCACTGGGGTGGCTGGGGCAGCTGATACTAGCAAAGCATTTCTTTCTCTCTATGAATCCTCTCCAGCAGTGGTAGCCACATATCTTTACATGGTAGCTCAGGACTCCAAGGGAGATTATTTCAAGATAGTAAGCCTTAATGCACAAACACTTATCAGACCTCTGCTTGCTTTACTTATTAATGATCTGGTGCAAAGCAAATCACTTGGCTGAGACCAGAGTCACTGGGGAAGCGGCTACAATGGGATGTGAATACTGGGAAGCATAAGAAATATATATATACTACTTGGGAGGCTGAGGCAAGAGAATCACTTAAGCCCAAGAGTTTGAGGTTGCTATGAGCTATAATGCCATGACACTCTACTGAGGATGACAAAGTAAGACTCTATCTCAAAAAAAAAAAAAATTAATTTTGAGATGAAAGAGCTCAGAATCATTCAATTTCTCTCTTTGAAGAGAAGTGTCATCACCTTAGGCAGAGCCCAAGGGACCCAGGAGATGCACAGATCACATCAGACCATAAAGTATCCTCACCAAAAAAGTGAGGCCTCTATGTTCCACTGCTTTCTCAAAAAAGGAACCATGGGGGTTTCTAGTCTGTGTCCTGTTACTATTGGGGACAACTTGGGAACTTTTCTATTCATCTGTAGCAGTGGAGATAAAACCAAAACATAGTGCCCTGTGATGTATGTTTAACTATAAAGAAAACAAAGCAGCTTTGTGTGTATAATAGGACCCTGATTTATTATATTAAAAATCCAATTTGTTCTCACAAACAGGCCGTGAAGCTAAGAAGTGGGTGGATAGGGAAGGGGAGGCCTCTAAGCCAGCTGTATTCCCTTCCTCCTTGCTCCAAGTCATTTTTGGAGCTTTGCTGAGCTTGCTTGAGTCCTGTGTCAGCTTCCTTGGGCTTTTAGCAGCTGAGCAGGTGGGTATATGGGTGGGAGAGAGAGGTCCAGTATATCCTCATTTGGAACACTGTAGCACTGCCAGGCACTCTACCAATGGAGATAATGAGTTCCAGGCTGTCAGTTAGAGTAGGAGCTGGACTTCTCCCAGCAGATGGTTGCCTCTGCGTCACTCCACAATCCTGGAGGAAGATGTTTAGTTGGGGGTGCACCCATCGTAGGGAGGAGGCCCAATAGATGCAGTTCAGTGATGAAGTGAGAGGATAAGGGGTCACCTGTCCCTGGTTTAAATCCTGGCTATCCCGTGCACCAGCTGTGTGACCCTGGGAAAATCATTTCATCTCTCTGAGCCTAATTTTCCTCATTTATAAAATATAGATGATCACAAATGCAAATTACTTAGCACAAGGAGCCTGGCACATAAGTAGAGCTCAGTAAATATTGCAGGAGAGAAAAGCCTACGTGTGATGGAACAAATCTGGCAGTTAGGAGATTGTCCCCTAGGTTATTTCTCCAATAGAGCATAATGATGTTTTTCTTTGGGATGGTCTTAATTTCAGAATATTGAGAAAAGCCCAGAGAAGAAAATTAAAGTCATCCAGTCTTGTCATGGAGACAACCACGATTATCATGTAGATGTATTTCCTTCTAATTCGTTCTCACTGATTTTATAAAAAGGAAAATATGTCAAACATACCACTTTGTTACCTAGCATTGTTCCTCTAATAATAGGTTATAAACATCTTTTAATATAATCATTAAGGGAGGAGCGTGGTGGCTCACATCTGTAATCCTAGCACTTTGGGAGGCCAAGGCAGGAGGATAGCTTGAGGCCCTGATTTAAATATTTCTTCTGGACCATAATTTAAAATGTATTTACAGAAGTTTATTGCATAAGTGTACACTAACTCCAAGCCCTTCTTTCTGGACAATAATATGCCAGATAATTTACAAACATTAACTCACTGAGGTCTCTTTGAGATAGGTACGATTACCATCATCTTCCTGAGGGAAACCCGAGGGTAATAGATGCAAAGCAGCTTCCCAGGGTCACATAGCTGGTCAGAAGCAGAATTGGGATTTAAACCCATGTTTGTTTATCTCCAGATCCAATGGACTTCCCATTGCAGAGATTGGCAGGCTGCACCCAAAGGAGGTGGTGGCATGCGAGTGGAGGTTTTCCTTTATAGCTCTGTTTTTTTAATTTAATTTAATTTTTTTGTTTTTGCAGTTTTTGGTCAGGGCTGGGCATGAACACACCACCTCCGGCGTATGGGGCCAGTGCCCTACTCCTTTGAGCCACAGGCGCTGCCCTCCTCTACAGCTCTGTTAAGTGTGTGAGCCTACTCAGTCAAGACTCTACCCAGACAAAAGATGTGAACAGCCTCTTTCCAAAAAAGGATACCCAAATAGCCAGTAAGGAATATGAAAAGGTACTCAACCACATTAGTCCTTGGGACAATGTAAATTAAAACCACAATATGACATTACTATACACCTGGCAGAATGGCTGAAATGAAAAAGACAGGCAATTTCAAGTGTTGGAGACACTCACACCACCGATGGGAGTGTAAATTTGGTACAGCCACTTTGGAAAACTGCTTGGCAATATCTCTCTCTCTCTTTTTTTTTTTTTTTTTTT